TGCTTTTTAAGATGACACTGAACCCATTCAGAAATATCCAAAACTGCTTTGTAACATGGCACCAAGCCCATTCAGAAATATCTAGACTGTTTGTTGTATACAACTGCTTTCTAAGATGGCACCAAACCCATTCAGAAATATTTAGGTAACAAGGGTGTAAATTTTTATTGCATTTTCTTAATTTTTGAACAAGCTCTTGTATATCCAAATCAAAATTGTTAATAAACAGTCCAAACTTCATATTTTTGTTTGGCTATTGTTCAACTACTTTCAGTTCTTCATAATGACCTAGACAATTGAAAGTATTTGAACAAAAGCATGACACAATTTTGATTTGGATGTTATAAGTTATAAAAAAATACAACAGAAAAAATTAGACAAACAGATCTTGTCAGTTGAATTCAATATTACCTTATATATATGCCAGTAGTTTGTTGTATGTATGTATTTATATAATGTTTTCATTTTCAAAACATGGTCAAGATATTGTGTCCATGTTCATAGTTGATATTATTGAGTGTTAGTTTTTTTGTTTTTATTAATAAGGCTTCCTTTATTTTTAGCCTTTTTTTTTGCATGTAGATGATGCTATTATATTTGTGTTGTCAACATGTATGTTACGAATAGTGTTTGGTAGGTTTCCATGAATATTTAAATGAGATCTAATTGAGCTATGGTCAGAAAGTGAGTCTTCATGTGAATTTTCTATTTAAACAGTTAATATATTTCAACCTTGAAAATAGGTAAATGTATAGCTGAAAGTGTTCAGATAAAAAGGACAATCAGGAAGTTTTTATATAATTTACCATGTGAAAAGAAAAATAAATATTAGATCACATGAGAAATTGTATAAAAAAGTAAATCAAAGCATCTTGTCTGTCATATTCAATGAAATGTGCATATATGATCAAAATAAAAGTATAAAACTTAATATTGCTAGACATATTAAAAACGAGCAAAGCAACCGGTTTTGCTCCCGCTCTTCAGGCTTCAACAGGAGATTTAATTTAAAATCAACACAGAAAAATGTACAATAAAAGGAAGATGTGGGAGGAAAAAAAAAAAATATCAAAAGGAACTAGAGACAAATGACAGCGAGCCCCAGCAAACACTCATGTTGTTTGCACAAAGAAGGCTTACGGGACCCAATGTAAAGTGCCTCCAGCACCTTTAGATAAAATAAAGAGTGTAACCGGGACAACACGGTGAACCAGTCAGCATTAAATTTGGCTGCACAATCTCTGTTCTTGAATAGGTGTTCACATATGGCGGAACCATAGGTGTTCAGGACGAGTCCATTCAATGGCAAGGTGTGATTTCTAATTTTTGTAGGAACGTGTTGTTTTATTCTCATGTCTAAGTGTTGAGTTGTTCTCCCTATGTAGTCGGCTCTGCAACTACAAACGTATTTATAAATAATTGAATTAATTTGATGGGGAGGGAGAACGTCTTTACACACAGAATGAAACATAGGCCGGGTTTATTGTACATTTTTCTGTGTTAATTTTAAATTAAATCTCCCGTTGAAGCCTGAAGAGTGAGAGCGAAACTGGTTGCTTCATCCATTTTTAATGTCTCGTAATATTAAGTTTTATACTTTTATTTCGGTCATTAAATTTTGTACCTACAAAAATATCTTTTGAAGCATGAGACCTCTTATGTCGTGAGTTGGAATCATATTTTTAAATAAATAATTATATATATATATATATATATATATATATATATATATATATAGTTATCTCTTGTGTGTATATATATATATATAGTTATCTCTTGTGTGTGTGTATATACATATATATATATATAGTTATCTCTTGTGTGTGTATATACATATATATATATATATAGTTATCTCGTGTGTGCGTGTGTATATATATATATATATATATATATATAGTTATCTCTTGTGTGTATATATATATATATATGTATATATAGTTATCTCTTGTGTGTGTGTGTATATATATAGTTATCTCTTGTGTGTGTGTGTGTATATATATATATATATATATATATATATATATATATATATATATAGTTATCTCTTGTGTGTGTGTATATATATAGTTATCTCTTGTATGTGTGTGTGTGTGTATATATATATATATATATATATATATATATATATATAGTTATCTCTTGTGTGTGTGTATATATATATATATATATATATATAGTTATCTCTTGTGTATATATATATATATATATATATATATAATATGAAAATTTTTTTTTCACTTAAATTTTCACTTTTATTAGTGTGTTTTTGCTTGGTGGTTGTTGATTGGTTGTTGGCTTCTTTTCTTCTCCTTCCTTTCTTTTCTTTTTTTATTCTTTATTCTTTCCTCACCTTCTCCATTGATCTCTGGTTTATTGCTATTGTTTTGATTGTTTCATTTAGGTTATAGTTGATTTTTTTGTATATGTATACATGTTTGTGCATGTGTGCTTATGTGTGCGGACACATGCATGCATACATACAAACAAGCACACATGCACATACCTACTCATGTATGTTCGTGTGTTCATGTGTGTGTGTCTGTTTATGTGAGTGCATTTGTATTCTGTTGGTATTGTGGTTACTCATTTTTGTTTTGAGCATTTAGGTCACTGTTGGATTTTTGTGCAGGTATGTGTTTATGTGTGTGCCCATGTCTATGTATGTCGGCATGCATACATACATGGAAACACACATAAACACACATATATTTTTTCTTTTTTTTTAATTAAATGCTCTATTTATAATAAACAGTATTAACAACATTTACCGACCTGAATGTCTGAGAAATTTTCATATAAAATATGCATCCTCCCACAGTAATCCAACCTGTATCCTATATGGAACCATCATATAGCCTGATGTGCTTTTACCAATTGAGCCACAGAGGAGCGTTTCAGTTAGCAAGGTTGATTTTACTGTTTTTAAACTACAATTTTCCATGATTTTCTTTTGTACATTCATATCTGCTCAATGTGTATCCAAATGTAAACAAATGATGTCACACATTATGAAATGGACAAAGTCCGACAATTATTTTTAAGATATTTTTTATGTTCATACATTCTTTTTATAGATACAAATATTTAAGTAAATGCTCTGTTTATAATAAACAGTATTAACAACATTAACCGGCCTGAATGTCCGAGAAATTTTCTTAATTGTCAGACTTTGTTTATTTCATATATATATATATATATATATATATATATAAAATGTAATAATGAAACACAGACAGAGCAGCCAACCACTACTAATAATGATATCTGCCCCCATCAGTCAAAGAGACAATGTTTAGTGTACTATCTTTGCAGAAACACAGCACATGGCAGCCCTGCCAGAACCGAGCCAGTGTGAACCCTGAAATGTTTGGTTATGAAGAAAGAAAGTCTCTGCTATTTTCCCCATGATAGTTAGGACAGTGTTAGGTATATAAATGATTTCTTTACTAGCCAACTGCTAGAGTTTTAGGCTCCATAAAAGCAGATACATCTTCTGAAGAGGCAGTTTGGCAAGTTGACCATATAACGGGATCACAGTGTGTTACCAAGGATTTCTCTTCATGGTATTTAGTGTAGTTTGAAATTCATTTGTCCTTGTTTGTGTTTCTGGTGTTTCACCTGCATTTATCCTGTACATGTGATGTGGCCATGTGGAACTCTTGTTTGTGCCCTGATTGTCATGATCCAGCGTTTGATTCTAGTGTTACTGCTTTTTCTGTCCATCTTCGATGACAGGTACCCAACCAATAAGAAGAAAATCTACATGGCAAATCCATAGGATTAATGTCAGGCCTTGATGGAGGCCAAATTGACTTGTCAGAAAATCCATGGAAATGTCACTTCCACCAGTTCTTCATCAAACTGCCTGTGTTTTCTGGAGCTCCATATTGAGTGAAGACATGGTGACTTGTAAATGTGGCTGACAACCAGGACAACACTTCTCTCTCCAACATTTACTGAGAAAATCTGCTATTCACTTTCACCCCTATTTCAATAAACACCAAGAGCCAATCAGAAGCAACAGCAATCCAAACCATGATACCAGTTGGTTTCTGTTGCTTGAAATGTGTTTTGACAACTTTGGGAATGTTTCCTTGTGAAGTGTCATAAATCCTATCATTGGGGTAGTTAACCACCACAGTTTCCACAGTGAAAAACTCTTTATCTGACCAAACAAAGATTTTTTCTTGTGGCATGCTGCATCTCTTGTAACATTTTCTTCCCTCTGCCAAGATATTTTGACTTGGAGATATAGTGGTGTGGGGCTTAGAGGGTTAAAATGAACTGTTCATTTCCCCATACCAAGAAGATTTATGAAGGGTGATAATGATGAGGAAACACATGGGTAATTTTAACAAAACAAGATCAAGAAATTTATTCTTAAATTTATACACTTAAGTACTGTCAGTAGCTTGTTTCAGGAAAATAAGTCAGAATTCTTAAAGTCTGTAGTTTTAATTTATTGTCAGAAAGAGGAAATGCATAAATATTTATGCCACACTGCATATTTCCTTTGAAGATAAGCAGTTGTCCTGATTTAAACCTGAAAAGACTAATCTATGTAGATATATTATTTTTTTGCCTATTTTTCTGTCTAACTTAAATTTACAATCTCATGTTCTAATTGCCTTCCTTGCTGCCACTTCTTTTCTTACTATTGTTGAAGCCTTGCTGTGAAGCTTGAATCTCTACTTTTGTTTTTTTTGTTTTTAATGGCTTTCATTATGGTATTTATTTCTGTGATTTAGCTATGTACTGATTCCTTATATATATATATTTTTTGTATGAATGATTTATGTAATATAAATTGAACTGCACCACATATTTGATATATATATATGAAGAAATATAGTCTTAAGGTATGCTATACTTATGGGATAAAGTGCTCAATATCAGAGATAGAAGCGTGTGTAAATATAAAAGTGTGTCAAATATAAGTCGAACATATAAGTCAACCCGCACATTCAATCCATTCATTTATCTATATAGGCTGTTTCATGCTATCTATGTATGTATATATGTATGTATATATATATATATATATATATATATATATATATATATATATGTATGTATATATATGTATATATATATATGTATGTATATATATATATATATATATATATATATATATATATATATATATATATATGTATATGTCATGTATATATATATATATGTATATATATATATATATATATATATATATATATATATATATATGTATATATGTATATATATATATATATATATATATATATATATATGTATATATATATATATATATATATATATGTATGTATATATATGTATATATATATATGTATATATATATGTATATATATGTATATATATGTATGTATGTATATATGTATATATATATATATATATATATATATATATATATATATGTATGTATATATATATGTATGTATATATATATATATATGTATATATATGTATGTATATATATATATATATATATGTCTGTATATGTATATATATATATGCGCTATATATATATATATATATATGTATGTATATATATGTATATATATATATACCTGTTATATATATATCTTATCATATATATATATATATATATATGTATATTTATGTATAGCGCTTTATATATGTTTATAATATATATATATATATATATATATATATATTTTATATATTTTTATGTATATATATATATATATATATATATATATGATTTATATATTATATATATATATATATATATATATATATATATGTATGAATGTATATATATATATATATATATATATATATATATTTATATACATATATATATATATATATACAGACATATATATATATATGTGTGCATATATATATATTTTTATATATATATATATATATATATATATATATATATATATATGTGAATATATATATATATATATATATATATATATATATATATATATTATATATATATATATATATACGTCTTAACAAGACGGGGTGAATTTCTAGCCTGACTAAAAGGAATTCCAAAATAAAACCTGATATTTGGCTTAGTGTTAAATTTTGGGTCAAGCTGAGAATTTTTCAATCTCACTGCCCTTTGTATGTGCTTATAGTAATTACAATACATCAATTGCACTTATAATGTCTATTAATAAAACGTAACTGATCTTTAACAAAAAATAATTCTGTTTTCATGTTCTGTACAAAGTACAGTGCTGTTTATATCATGTGGAAAGAGTTGAAGATAATTTTGCAAATATCTGTTTTAAAAACAAACCAGAAAATTTTATGTTTTTTTCTTTGTAGTTTTTACCAGACACCCAAACTAGCTGAAGATGTGATCTCAATATATACCACATTTTCCTATAGTGTTGTGGCTTTTGCTGCTGGTAAGTTAAAAAGGTTTTAACTCACTTGGTACAACTGATTATGAGATATGTTTTTGGCAATCTAAAACATTATAAAAGATGTAAACTACCATTTACCATGAAGTTCTATAAAATTAAATTAATGAAATTATTAAACCCCAAAGTAGGTTTTTGTCAAAGTATTTTTTCAAACAAATCATCTTATTCAAATTTCATCAATTTGTTTGAAAAATTGAATGAAATATAGAGTTTGTAAATCTCAACAAAAATGTTAGTGATAGTTTTAATGATACTAAATACTTTGAGGATTTCATCATGCAACAGAATGTTTAAAAAAATCCTAGTAACATAAAATTGATTTTTGTAGAAAGTAAATGAATCATCTGCCTCACATAGGAAGTTGCTTATGCTGTCAATGTTAGGAAACATGATCATACAAGATCTATCAGTTCATAAAAGTAAACACCGCCAACAACAAAAACACAAAATTCACAATCCAACACTATCAATAAAATATGAAAAACTAGTCATCTCCAATATTAAGATCTACCACCATCTCCAAGACAATCAAAGATACAGTTAGAAAGAAAAATAAGAATTTACAATATAAAAAGCCTGCAATGTAGGAAAAGCTACATAGGTGAAACATCTAGAAATTTAAAAACTTGCAACTACAAACATAACAGACACCTATGTTGGAACAGCCCTTTAAACTTGCTTGTAACACACTACTTCAATTTTATAAATGGCGCTTTAATTAGAAAAGAACATACATTATTATGTAGGAAATATTTAGATGGATTTTTGATAAATATTTTGCCATCTATAAACCCATTTCACACAGATTTTATTATATCACTAACTTTTATAAAATCCATACTTAAAGAATCTAAGTTTTGTTTACCTAAACCACAACTATTGTAAGTGAAATTCTTTCACTCTCACACAAAATGTCATGGAGAACTTCCAGATATAGATGAAAATATCCACTCAACACTCAAATATACACACATGCATACACTCCCAACTGACTCCCATATAGACCAACTAGAATTGTGATACACAAATGCACATGAATTATACACACAAACACTGCTTGAGAGGATAGATACACATGAGGTCTGCTTAACCAATGAAAAATAACACAAATAAAAATACTAGAATTTTCTTTTCTTCTCCATATTTCTTTCTCTGATGAAGCTTCTATAAAAGTGAAACATGTTAAATTTATAAATGTTTCTTTTTACACTTTATCTTATCATCTCAAGTCATAAATATATTATAATAAGAGCAGAGTTTAATCTGACCATAATCATCCTGTCTGTCCTTCAAAGAACAATTCATAAATTATATTACCAAATTGAAATATATCTCTGACTGGATTTCTATGAGGTAATGGTTATAATAACTGTTTCCTTGTCGCAGTGGTCCCTAAACTGTGCTGAATGCCTCATAGGTGTGGTGGTAGAGGATAGCAGATGAGACAGAATAATTGGAAGACAATCAAAGATTTAGAAACAGTTTCAAAAAATTCATATACCAAAAATAAATATGATTTCAAACTTTAAAATACTATTATGATTATTTTCAAGTGCATGCATGAGTCCCAGTATGAATAGTTATAAATAATTATTGACTGATTTTATCATTGTGATATTTTTGTATTATATCAAGTATTAAGAATATAGTAGCTAGGGTCTGCAAATTGAAGGAGAGAGTTATCAATGATAATGTTCTGACTTCAAATCCATGATTATCTCTCTTTAACCCTTTCTCTGTTTCTTATTTTTAAATGCATTTTTCATCACATAAAATTTGGTGAGGTGTGAGCAAATTTTCATTCTGACAATGTGGCCCAGAGAAAAAAAAGTTTGGGAACCACTGCCTTACAGGGATAAAATAATTTCTGGCATTTAAGAAAATGCAAGTGATATAGTCTTGTAATGTGCAGTCTCTGACAAACTGTAGAAGCAATTTGAAAAGATAGCATTTCGCAATGCTTGCATCAGAGTCTGCACTTCAATAGAAGTTTCTGCATCAGCATTTGGTGTGATGAAAGAGAAGAAAACATGGAATGCCAAATAAAGAAAGACACTGGGGGGAGGTATGGTGGCCAGACAGAGTTTTACCATCATTAGCAGAAGTAGTTTCATATAGCACTGAGATAAAAAAAAAAAATCACAGAAATATGTTAAAGCACTCCTGCAAGTATTTGCATACACTTGCTGCTTGCACTTAATAGTATATATTCCAGTTTTATTCTATAGATGCTGCAAGCAATGACATGGCAATATTAGCCGTTTCCTTATAAGGAAACATTCAGCATTCATTGACTGAGCATCCAGTGCTGCTATTGGTTGAAATGCATAAAATCTTTCTCTTAAAACAATTTTTAGGAAAACAAATTTCTCAAGTTCATTAGCTTTTATCGTTTTTTCCAGTATTGATGGGGGGTTTCTTTCCTAACCTTTTATTTGAAGTGGTGGGGAATCTTAACATCTTGATTATGTTGTTATTTTCTCTCTCAGTTACATGTGCTATTCATTTTGGTTGTTGCTGCTGTTGGTAGTCTTTGAGTGATGTGATTTCTGTCATTTTGTACAGTTCTTTGTGATTCTATAGTGCCAGTCCACAATGTCCAAAGAAGGATGATCTTCAAGTTTTTTAAGTTCAGTAGCTTTTGTCATGCTTTCCAGTATTGATGGGTAGTTTCCCTCCTTACATTTTATTTGAAGTAGTATGGAATATCAACATCTTGATTATGTCATTATTTTTTCTTTGAGTTAAATCTTAGCTATTGCTACTGTTAAAAGTTCTCAACTGATGCAGTTTCTGTTATCTGCTATAGTTCATTGTTTGTGGTTATGTAGCATCAGTCCATGATGTTCAAAGAGGAATTGTCTTCATCAAGATTCACAGGCTTCACTCACTCAAATCTATTTTTCACCATTGATCTTAGAAAGTGGCTGTAGACAGCAGACAGTTTATATATTTCTTTCAGGAAAATAGACTTTTCAAGTCCAATAGCTGTTATTGCTCTTTTCATTATTGATGGGAGTTTATTTCCTAATCTTTTATTTGAAGTAGTGTGGAATGTCAACATCTTGATTGTGACATTATTTTCACTTCAAGCTATATGCAATATCCATTTCAGTTGTTGCTGCTGTTGAAAGTCCTCAATTGATGTGGGTTCTGTTATTTGGTACAGTTCTTTGTGATTCTGTAGTGCCAGTCCACAACGTTCAAAGAAAGATTGTCTTTGCCAAGACCTACACACTTCATTCACTCAAATCCCTATTAAAGTCTTGATCTGATTTCTTTTTGAGTTAAATCTTAGCTTTTGCTACTGTTAAAAGTCCTCAAGTGATGTGGTTTCTATAATCTGGTTTGGTTCATTGTTTGTGATTATGTAGCACTAGTCCATGAGGTTCAAAGAGGAATTGTCTTCACCAAGATCCACAGGCTTCACTTGCTTAAAACCATTTTTAATAATTGATTTTTAGTAAGCATGTGTATATAGCTAAGAGTTTAGATATTTCTGGATGCATTTCATCCAATGCATGGTACCCCTATGAAAGTCTTGATCTGACAAGGCTATTTAAGAAAATGACTCAAGTTTGCAGGTATGTTAAACTGAATAAATTTAGAGACTATTTTTGTGGGTGACAGTGAGTGGGTGGGCTTAAGATTTTTCTGAAAGAGAAGAGTAACATTTTTCTCTGCAATTATTGGAGCATGACAGGTCAACAGAGAATAAACTAATTTATAATTACTTTGACAGGAAAAAAGTAGCAACAGCTTTTCAATCTACATTGTTGCCAATTATTTTTATTGAGCACCTACTTTAATGATGCATATCTATGCAGGTAGTGTAATGGTTAGCAGTTTGGAATGAGAAATCAAAGATTTGAGTTTGAATTCCAGTTGAGTTCATAACATTCACTTTCGCACAAATACTCTCAGGAAAGGTATGAATCCATCTCTTCTCTCCCCAGCTATAAATTAAATATATATAAATATCTGTAAGTCAACAGACTGTGGAGACTGTTGAGTATGACTCAGACTTATGCAAGAACTACCGACCTTCCAATAGCAGCACTCACTACTGTATTGACTTGCGACAACCTTGTGCATAACTGTACCTTTTTTCTTATTGTTTTGTTTTTTTTTTAAAAATAAACTTTTACTCATTTTATCCACCTTGTTTTTCAAGTATATATTTCTATTAGCACAGAATATAACAAAAAGCATCATTAATAAGATGGAATGAAATGAGTAATAAAATAATAGTAATAGTGAACAGTGTATTGACCCAATGTTTGGATAAAAAGCAAAAATAATAAAATAGAGAAAAAACTAGTAATCAGATAATAATAATAATAATAATAATAATAATAATAATAATAATAATGAAGAGTGCATTGACCCAGAGTGTTGGAATAAAAAGAAACAATAATATTGAATAAAATTTGTCATACAATGTTTTAAGAATAGTTGTGTTATTGTTTTTTTTACTGAAAAACAGAGATAAATCAAAATTTCAACTCCAACTTAAGCCCAACAATATTTTTTTGTTTTGTTTTGTGTATTTTGTGCTGTAATTTTAAAAAAAATGTTATGAATCAATCTTAAAAATATCAAACATTTTCTTTTTCTTCAGGTTATTTTATTCACGATACAATAGACATGATTGGAACTCCACGGTCAAGACAATGTATTGAGTTGATAGCTCACCATTTTGTTGTAAGTAATTTTAAATTCTTGTTTCAGATGCTGCTGCTTTTAGTCCAGGTTTGAAAAAGGGCTCCATTTGAAATTAATTACTATAATATTAAAACTGATGTGAATGCATTCAGTCACATTTATATTTTACTGGAAAAAGAAACCTACCAACTCAACAGTTGCCATTTTTGGCAATCTGATCTCTCGTCAAAAAAATATAAAAATATGGGGATATCTTAAGGAGACTGAATTCAGGAGATATTTGTAAAGCCTGCATTTGAAAGAAAGAATTTATATTTTGAAAAATATTCTTGTCTGGGTACAGATGAGTGAGGAATCAAAAAACTACATCTGATAAGTATTGTAAATTTTAATTTCTGATACAATAATTATTAGGCTTGAATACAAAATTTTGGCAATTACTGAATATTTGATATAAAAACAGCAGTGTGAGTAGTCTTTATAGCCAAGACATATTTTCACTACTTAGCAATGATAATTCTGGATTTCATTTGTAAAATGTTGGAATCTATTTATATCAAGTCCTACCAGCCATATCTCTGTAGATAGGAATTGTTTGGTTGGCTTAAATGTAATTAGCCTGTAAGTGTTAGATTTGCTTTTATATAACAGTTGGTCCTGGGTGTTCATATTTAGTTGTTGTGCACATTTTTGTCCTTAGTCTTAATTTTGATGAGAGTGGACTGATAAACCAGTTTAGCTGGGGGGTTTTGTTATTTGGTGTTGTATTCTGATGTTACCATTTTATGGTAATATTTTTTTTTAGCCAGCTTTTTTGTTATAAATTTTCTTGTTGTAAAATGTTCATTTTTATTGATTGAATAAAATTTTGTACCCCTGTAAAAAAAAAATATTTCAATAATTATTACTCTAGAAAAGTATTGAGCACTATTAATATTAAACTATTGATAATCAATTGATAATTATTGATTATAATAATAATTATTTATAATATTAAACTATTGATAGATATTATGTTCACCTTGATATACACTGAATAATATTTTAATTTTATGCATTGGCATTACTATTATTTTGTGGCACTACTTAATTAGAATGGTCCACTTATAAAAAATAGGGAAAAAAGTTTTTAAATATGTTTAGATCAGCAGTTTTGAAATCTTTATGTACCACTTGTCAGAATAAAAAATATTAACTTTTTTATTGATTTAGAATTGGGGGTTCAGTTCATAATAGTGATACAGTGTAAAATAGATCCCTTACATTTTAACCTGTTAAGTTCTGATTGATCTTCATTTATAAATGTTACACCACTTCCTGTACGATCACTGAAGTTGAGCAATGTCAAAATTTTCTTCCTGTTTTTATGGGTGGACTACAATATTTAAGTAGTGCTGATTTTATTTTTATCATTTTCTTTTATGTAGGTAGCTCTAAAGATTCTTTTATGTAGGTAGCTCCAAAGATTTGCTAAAAAATGAACATAAATAATGAAAACATACCCAAAACTTAATAAAAACCAATTTATATCATCAAAATCTTTGTATTATTATTAAGAGGAAAGACCAAAGGATGTTTTGAGGTAAAAATTAATTTTTTTTAAAATTTTTTAGAACCTACAGAATTTTGGTTAAAAGTCTTGTATTTTTGGCGTCAATGGGGTGGGGGAGATAACATAAACTTCTATGAGAAATTTGCAGTGAAAAATACATTGATTTTGAAATTCTTGCAAAAATCAAATAATTATCAGATTTAAATGAAACTTTCAGGACTTGAAATTTTTTTTTTTTTTTAGAAAATTTTGGTAAAAATATTTTTTTTATCTCTATAAACCACCACCACCACACACACTTATTTAATTTTAAGAAATTCCTTTATGTAGCACTTAATGTTCATAATAGTTTTTATAATTATATGTTCTTGGAGAATTTGAATCATTTTGTTTTTTGGTCAAACTGGACCCCCAGTTAAAGAAATTCTGGTCTGAAATGGAAAATAAAAAAATCAATAAAACTGAGACATTTTTTTAATTAAAAAACTTTTAGTATCTGCTATATTTCTGAGATGAGGTATTATGTAAATTATTTACATTATTCAGACTATTGGCCTTATCTTTGTCGCCATGTTTATGAAAACGTTTCAGCCATTGTACACTCTGGCCTTCTTCAGGTGGTTGGAATGTCGAACTGAACCCTTTTGCTGACTGGGGCAGACTGTTCCAGTTCCACATGCCATGTCTAATGGATGTTAGTTATCAGTTATCTCCTGTTAATTCCCCTCTCCAAGTTCTCCACTGCCTTAACCAGGTATTGAACTCACACTCATTGGGTCCTGTCACTGGATCTAACTAACGCCTTTATCCACTGAGAGGGGAATTAACAGGAGATAACTGATAACTGACATCCATTAAACATGGCATGTGGAACTAGAACAGTCTACTACAGTGAGGGAAATAAAGGGTTCAGTTTGACATTCCAACCACCTGAAGAAGGCCAGAGCATACAACAACCGAAATGTTGTGATAAAAACAGTGACAAAGATGAGGACAATAGTCCAAATAGTGTAAATAGTGTAAAAAACTTTTAATTGTTTTTATGAATAAAATATATTATTAACACTACTGTCTTAAGAAAAATATTTTTTCAATGAATAATGAATTTTTACAAGAGTTGTTATCATTTTTTTTTTAAAATTTGAATTAGAATATTTTAAACTTTTAAAATTCTGTATTAATTTGTAGTTGTCAAGTGATATTGCTATTAAATAAAAACTATATTTACTAATCATAAATGGAAAAGCTTACTACTGCTCAGCAACCCCCAGTATTTTAAAAAGATCTCTGAATTTTTTGTGTGTGTATAAACATTCCAATTTTTGTAAATATGGATGTCTGTATATGACATTATCAGAAAATAAGAGTGGTAACTATAGTAAATTTAAAATTATTGGTAATTTTGTAACATTACCTAAACAAGTGTTTTTTTTAATCAAGACTATAAAACCAAGTACCTAAAATTTAATAAAATATTAGAATGCTTAAAATATTTAAAATTTTTAAGATTACTGTGTAGTTAGAAAATTATATAAAAAAAGTATTTATGTTTGTCATGTAAGTTTACCAGAATTATCTGCCTAATTAGTTAAGTTTCTCAAACATTGAGCTGTTCATAGATCTGTCAACATCGCATAAAAAAATACCCACCTCTGTGTTATAAAATGCTCTTCTGCATTATCTCTATCTATAAAAGGCAGGATGTGTGTGTGTGTGTGTGTGTGTGTGTGTGTGTGTGTGTGTGTGTGTGTGTGTGTGTGTGTGTAACGAATGCACTGCCACAATTTTCAACAGATTTGCACCAAAATTTACATGCACATGCTCCAAGTTAGCGGGAAGGCCAAGATCGACTTTGCATTTTCCAACTCCCATTGATAATGGACATAATCAATTTTTTCATGCTTCTACGGCACTTTTCATGTAGGTTGCGACCATTTTGTACTGGCCAGTGTGAGAGCCTATAGCTGGCTGCCGTGAATAGGCAGGAAGATTCTATTGGTCAGTGTGAGAGCCAACAGCTTACTGACACAAAAGTTAACTAGCATGCAAAAAAAAGCTGCATTCGTCACAAGTGGGAAAAATTTAAATCTGCATGGCACTTTACTCCAATTGGCTCATTCGCTTGCTTAAACTCAATGTTGATTCTGATTCCACAGAACAGGGTTGGGTGTGAAAAAGTATTTGTTGTTTTCATTCGGTTTTTCCAGTTACAAGTTCTTTTTTAAAGCTGATTGTTTTATGTTTATTTTGTTTAGTTCTTTTTTCGTAACAGATTTAATGTTTAGTATAGAGCTTAGAAAAAATTCATAGTGTGAGATAGGCAAGAAGTAAAGCATGTAGCAACATCAGCACGGCAAAGGGCACTCCTTTAAAGGCAAGGAAGGGCAAAAATATTTTAAGTGATAGCAATTGCTGTATGAGTCATACGATTTTTGAATCAAGCACAGGCAACGCCGGCCATGCTGCTAGTTGTTTAATAAAGAGAATTTTGTTGTTGATTTGTCACTATGGACGATTTTACTGATGATAAAAAAATATCATTCTGATCGATTTAAATTCGATTTGAAATCCAGCAAAGTTTTTCCTTATTGGAAATATTAAATTTACTCCATTAGCTTTGAATTAAAACTAAAAGCTTCCACAAAAATTTTTCATTTTTTAAAATTCATTTTAAACATTTGGTATCACTTTTCTTTGGCTATACCTACATTTATGTGGCAGGTGGTAAATAAGAGTCACTAAAAATAAATTTTTTCAAAATTTTCTTTTCAGTGTGTTTTGCATAATTCAAAATGGCTGAAACTTTATCAAATTTTGCCAATTTTTGTTGAGGTTTTGACCTATTTTGTGAGCTTTAATCATTTGCAAAGAAGGTTTGGGATTTATTAGATGAGATCAAAACTTACTTTGGGGTCAAATTTTAGCAGTAGTTTGATCATGGAGAATCAAAACATTTCAACCTGTCTCTCAAATGTATATTAGTGTTCAGTGAATGGTGTAGTAGAACTTTTCTGGGTTGCTTGCCATCATTATAAAAGAGTTCTAAAAAATGCAAAGAGCAACTATACACAGTCAGGGGCACCTCAACGTGGTGTAATGGTTAGAAAGCTTGTCTTGCTAGATCAATTATGACTGAGTAGTGAGTTCAATCCTCACTGGGTGCTCCATACTTTCAGCCTTGTGCCACATCTAAGCTGGGCTTAGAAAATCATTGGGAATCTCAACGTGGTGTAATGGTTAGTAAGCTTGTCTCACTAGATCAATTACGAGTGAGTTCGATCCTCGCTGGGTGCCCCATACTTTCGGCCTTGTGCCACATCTAAGCCGGGCTTAGAAAATCACTATACACAGTCAGTCTGTCTGAATGAGTGCATGTCAGAGTGAGTGCTTGGGATGAATAAATGTTTTATTTAATTATAGTCCCGCATTGATTTCAGCCAGTAAACTGATATTTCTGCCACATTGTGTGGGGTTTTATTACTAATATTATTTTCTTTAGTTTCTTGTAAATAGATTTTGCTTTCATATTGTAAATACTCATTGGGGCTAGATTTTAGAATTGTTGTTTTTTATCCCCCCCCCGTAGACAATGAATTGTAAATATGGGGACTAGTTAGTACTTTCATAGAGACAGTGAGGTATTATGGTGATTGTAGTAAGAAAGGTACGTAAGAATGAGTTGTTTTGGTGTAAGGAATATTGTTTGTATGATTGGGTCAATGTTTGTGGTTAGCTATGTTATAGTTAAGACAGAAGAAGACCGTCCTTTCCCCATTCCCCTCTTCAGCCATGTGCCACATTTCTGTACATAAAAGAATAAATATTACTATACACAGTCAGTCCAAGCCAAGGCTGAAAATAAAAGAATTGGTTCCTGTGAGGCCTAGAAAATCTCAAATAATATTCTCAATAGAGACAAAACAGACTCTGAACTTTCACTCATCATGATAGATGGGTTTTCTTTCAAGGATGCTCCTGACTTTGAATGTATATTTGGACATAAGCACTCCCCTGACCTTAAATGGAACTCATATATCCAATCTATTGCTATAGATGCTGGAAAAATGATTGATTTATTGTACAACTCAAGTAAGTATCTGACTCCCCCAGATATACTCTATCTTTACAAGGGTTAGATCAGATCAAAAATGGAGTATTGCTGCCATACATGGGATGGAGCTGACCAGTCCTAACTTGCCTGTTTGATAGAGTTCAGAAACATCCACTTAGCCTTGTCAGTGATGAATTATCTTCCACCCTACAACCCCTTTCCCGAAGACAAAACATTGTGAGCCTCTCTCTCCACTATCACTATTTCCATGGCATGTGTTCTGACAAGCCACAATCCTTAGTCCCACCAGCCCTGACCTTTACAACTGGGACCTACCAAGCCACATACACAAATGTGAATCATCCCCACTCCCTTCAATTTCTTATTTGTAAGTTCCACTTAAACACCTTGTTCCCAAGAACTGCTGCTTTGTGGAACAGACTCCCAGCAGAATGTTTTTCCAATTACTAACATCTTGACCTCTCAAGTCTAGGCATAACTGTTATTTTTTCCTTTCATATTCCATTAGTAAGAAATAAGTTCCACTTGAACAGCTTGTTCCCAAGAACTGCTGCTTTGTGGAACAGACTCCCATCTACAATCTTGGCCTCTTCAAGTCTAAGATTAACATTTATCTTTCATACATAACCACCATGAATTTAACTGCTTGCCTTTTCTTATGCAACACCACACAGTAACCCTCTACTTTGATTATCTCTTGGCAAAAATGTTATGGCAACAAAATCCCCAAAACTAAAATAGTGATCAAGAGTCAAAACAATTTTTCAATGTGAAGGAACTCTTATTTAGCATGGATTGTTCCCCTGAAGAAAGTTAGAGAATAGTTTGACCAAAATCTGAAGATAACAATAAAAAAGCAAGCAGTTATATATATATATATATATATATATAAAGAAATATAGTTTTAATGTGTGCTATATTTATGGGATAAAGTGCTCAATATCAGAGATAGAGTGTATGTAAATATAAATATAAAAGAGATCATTGAAGTCAACACTCAGAGGCGACAGGCTGTTTCATGCTGGATGCAATCATCAGCAGCCTGACGATTGCGTCCAGCATGAAACAGCCTGTCACGTCTGAATGTTGACTTCAATGTTCACTTTTATTTATATATATATATATATGAAGAAAAATATATACGGAAAAAACAAAACAAAAATCCTTATATATGATTATGTTGTTTTAATGTTAATATGTCAACATCTGACGTTTCGGTCTAATAAACCATCTTCAGGACATATTCATAGATATAACATTATCAATACAACATGACAAAGACGATGTACATTAGAACAAGACTGATATTTATTTCTACAAAAAGTACAAATCGTGCCACAATTTGTACTTTTGGTAGGAATAAATATCAGTCTTGTTCTAATTTTTGTTTTGTTTTTTCCGTATATATTTTTTCTTCATAATGTCGGATCTATAGCCATATATTTGCTTATATATATATATATATATATATATATATATATATATATATATATATATATATATATCTAAGTTAAGAAAATACTATTATTAGTATTAGTATTATTATTAGCAGTAGCAATATTAATAATAATAATAATCATCATCATCCCAAACTCAATGTTTTGGTTACAGTGAAAGTAAAGACCCAACATTTTAGCCATGTCAGCATAAGAATAAGCTAACTTCTTCCCCTTCCTAAACCTCCATACTATAATATTGTGATAATAAGGATAAATAAAATAATTCAGTTTTGCTACAAAGATATGACGATGGAAAGATTAAAGTTGAAAAGTCATTGATTATTTCTGACAATATAATTAATATTTACAGAACTGATTATATATGCTTGCTTTCTTATTTTGATACAATGTTCACTTCTTCTTTTTTTTTTTTATTTCAGCTCCTTATCGCTCTCTCTGTTCCCATATTAACCTACAAGAGTGTTGGGTACTTGCTGGTTGGTCTTCTGGTTGAGATTAACTCTATCTTCCTCCATTTACGGCAGCTCTTATTACTACACAAATTCGACAAGACATCCTCAACTTACAGGCTGAACAGTATTCTAAACTTAGGTATGTAAAAGCAACACCATATTCAATTAAACATACAAAAACTCAAATTTCTCTTTAGATCTGTGTGGTAATAAAATAAGGTTATCCCATCGCCCTTCTCGCTTGTAACCATCCACTATAATAAAATAAGGTTATCCCATCGCCCTTCTCACTTCTCAAAGTCAGCAAAGAGATCAGAGGGTATGAGATAGTGACAGGAGCAATAAGTTTGTTGGCTTGTAGTTGGATCTGTGGAAAGGAGTTTCTCTTCCTAGTCCTTTTCTCTGGACGGATGGGCTTTTCACGAAACTCGGCATCTGGTTTGGTCCCAATCTCCTGCTGGAAAAGAATTGGTCAGAGGATTGGTTTTTAATTCATATAAGTCCCATATTAATTTTGTCCAGATAACTAACATTTCTACCACAGTTAAGGATTGTGAGTTTTTTTTTTTTATTATTATAAACACCATTTTGTTAAGTTTCTTCTATATATAGTATTATGGATATTGTAAATATTCATTGGAGTTTTCATTTTTAAATGTTGTTATTCTATTCTCCATTCTCCATAGACAAATTGTACATAGAGGTAACTAGTTAAGACTTCATAGAGACTCTGAGGTATTATGGTGATTGTAATAAGAGTGATAAGTAAGAATGTGATATTTTCATGCAAGGAATATTGTATAGTTTATTTGGGTCATTGATTGTGGCTGGTTAAGTTTAAGACAAATGATGATAAGCCTTCCCCATCCCCATTTTTGGCCTAGTGTCTCATTTTTTTGTATTTATCCAAAAATAAATATCATTAATCAAATAAATGTTTGCTCATTAGATTTTATTTTTTGTCCACACTTTCTAATTCTCCTTCCCTCGTTAGGTGACCAGAGGTGTCAGTTCTCTTTGGCACACCTTTCATTTTTCAAGTGTTTTTTGTATGTGTTGTGGGTGTTTGAATAAGTGAGTGCTTAATTTTTGAAGTCCTGCATAAATTTTGTCCAGTTAACTTATGGTTCTGCCACTTTTAAGGTGTGTGTGTGTGTGTGTTGGGGGGGTATTACTAACACTGTTTTGTTTCTTGTAAATAGATCATGTTTTCATTGTAAATATTCATTGGGGTTATAAATTTTTAAAAGTTGTTATTCCCTATCCCTCACCCCACAATAGTGAGGATATCAACATTGCCTGAAGTTAGAGGTAGGGGACCTTTAAAATGTATACTTAAGCATTCCATTGGTTGAACAGCATTAATTAGAGTTCCCTTTTCCATGCAAAAAAATCTTTGCATGAGTTCTGCACATAAATGACATGAAGAACATACTTCCTTTATTTCTTCTGTTGTGAAGGGTAGGTTCTTAGTCCGTACAAAATGGAGCATTTGTGCAATTCCAGGATGGCATAGTCCTTAATGAAGAGTTGATGAAGACATTGAAACACAAAATTCTTTGACCATTTTTTTGTTTTTTTAATAGTTACAGTTTTGTTTTTTGATCATATCTTCTACTGATCATCAAAAAGATCCCCAAACTTATTCATTGATTAAAATGTATATTCATTATTCAATGTGATGTTTCAATCAGAAAATCACTATTAATTTTTAAAGATATTTTTGCCTGGTTGTATAATTCTTCTTTAGTAGACATTATGGGGAAAAAATAAGAATAATCCAAAGATACAGTATTTACATTAGTCGGACTATTGTCCTCATCTTTGTCGCCATTATATCTGTCACAACGTTTCAGCCGTTGTACACTCCGGCCTTCTTCAGGTGGTTGAAATTTCGAACTGAACCCTTTATTTCGCTCACTGGGGTAGACTGTTCTAGTTCCATGTTTGATGGATGTCAGTTATCAGTTACCTCCTGCTAATTTTCCCTCTGAAAGTTCTCCACTGCCTTAACCGGGTATTGAACTCACGCTCTTTGGGTCCTGTCACTGGATCTGACCAATGCCTTTATCCACTGTGCCATGTGTCCTTGAGGACACATGACACAGATATATCAAATATTTGTTGTATTGAGAAACACTACACAACAGACAAAGCTTTTACCTTTCCTCAATGTTCTCATGAGTACAGAACAATGAACGTTTTGCATTTTTGGCATGTGGTATCAGAAGAGAGGAGCAGATGGGCATGTGCTGTTGGTCAACACAACTAGATTGTGTTGTGTCTGTTCATTTCTTTGTGTTGCTTTTTTTCTTACCACAATGTTTCAGTCAATCCATTCTATATCTACCTTCTATCATTTTGAGAAGAGTCATTATCATTCCAAGAGTTCTTCAGTCTATTGAACTCATTCTTATATAGTTACAACAATATTTTGGCCAATGTATTCTGTAACATTTCTCTCTTATATGTAATTTTAAGAAGTCATTTTTATTCCAGACCTTGTTTAGAAAACTGAATACATTCTTTGTAGAATACCAGTTTGATTTTTGTTCATCACAACACACTAGTTAAAATAGTTTTATTGATATTCTATTTTTATTTATTTTCTCTACTTTAATTTTCATTCGTAAAGACTCTTTGCTTTATCTTTACTATTCCTAAGTTTTTAAATTTATTTTTTTTTTCCATTTCAGGAACTTTCATAATTTTCCGAATTTCTCCATTGTGCTGGATGACTCGGTGGATTGTTATCAACAAGAACCTTGTGCCATTTTTCTTTTACTTTCTTTCAAGCCTTGGCCTGGCCATTACAACCGTCATGAACATTGTCCTTTTCTACAGGTGCCTCAGTAGTGATTTCATTCATCGCAAGGACACATCTTCTAAGCTTGAATGACTTCCATGTCAATGGTTATTCACCTGCTGTACAAAATATACATGCGATTATCTCCCTTACTTCTAGTAATATCTTTTGAATTCTAACCGCATCATTATTATTCAGCCACTAGAGTTTATTTTTCTTGGTGAAGTTTTTCAGTTAGTGTACCATTTTGTGCCTGAAGTTCACTAAATTTTCTTTCTAATTTATCATCTAAATTGTCTGCATGTTTTTCTTATTGCATATTACTTACTTTTAAAAGGAAACAACCTAACATTATTTTTGTTACAAGGCTGCCATTACTGGCATTGATTACATACATTTGCCTTGAGTAGTAATGTACGGAAGCTTACTGTTACATCCCGTGCTAAGGGAATAAATATTTAACACCAGGTGGATAATAGAAGAAAGGTTTATTGTACACAACCAGTACAATATGAAATATGGTACAGTTATACACAACAGGTTAATCTAATAGTGAGTGCCACTAATTGGAAGGTCGGACGTGATTGCATCTTTTCTCTCACTCTTCCTCAAGTCTCTCATAGACAATTGACTTTAAGGGTACTTACTACCTATAGTGTAATCATTCATGGGGTGACTGGTTATTCCATTATATCACTTACTTAGTTAATGGCCTTTTTACTGATCTTCTTGTCTTCTTACTTGTCTTGATTACTGCGCAATTCGTGAAATTTAATTTAAAGTTTGTGGTAGTAATCAAGACAAGTGAAGCTTCTGCTTTTCAAGGGAGGTGGAATGTTGGTAAAAGGATATATTTAGTAAATATATTTTACCAGCAAGGGGAAGAAAAAGTTAGGGTTTATACTTTATTAAGTAGAAGTATAGACAAGTAAGTGTAATGCCTCTTTTGATTCAGAGCTGGGGTGTGTGTAAATGACTAGTTCACCCCTTCTACTACTACCTACTCCCCCCCCCCATTAAAATAGTAGATAGCCATATATGTAATTATTCTGGGACAGTGTGATTTGGGGGATATGTGAACATCATTTTTGGAAATAACTTTGCATTTTCTTAACTCCAGTATTATCTGGCTGTCCCTCTGCCTCTCTCCTCCTTACTTCCTTTGTTTCGTAGATTTTTGTTTTTTTTAAATTGCTTTACAATATTCAGAATACTGTTCAGGCATTTGAACCCCTTTTTTTCAAATACTTAACACAATTATGCTCACCTTATAATCTGACCTTTTCACTGCAACATCATTAATCACCACCATATTTTTGCTAAGAATATTTTCCCAAAACTTACTCTGTAGATTACAGAGCCGTAATGCATAGTGGCTCAGATTAAGGAGTTGGAGAGCCAAGTTCAAATTCCAGTCAAATTCATTATATTCACTTACATGCAAATACCCTTAGGAATGGTATGAATCCATCTCTTCTCCCCTAGTAAATAGCATGACTCACTGGTTTCTATAGCCTTGGATAGCAACTAGTCTAGGAGGACAACTCTGACTTCAAACCTCCAACTATGGATTAAATAACTTCACCAACCTGCAAATAGGCAAGTGTGGCTACACCCCTGAAGACATGATCAATCAGGGAGGAATTACTTCAAGGAGTGTGGTGGATCTGGATCTGAGAGCTTTCATCCCAGGCAGTGATGTGCAGAAGATTGGTGATGCTTGGTGATGCCCTCAAAGATGTATGGGTGCCTACAGGGCTTTGTACTAAAACAAATGTGAGAAAAGAAGACATTTTAAATATGGCAAAAAAAAAGGAGAAAAATAAACACTTTATTCAAATTAAATATAAAATAAATTTTTATTTTGCTCTTTAATTAAATTACCAAAGCCATCAGTCCCTCTGCCACTATTTCTGCACACTATTGATCCTTGGTACTCTGTAAATTTGTGAATATTTCTGTTGCTAATTTGACTAATTTTTAATTTTATTAATTCTATTCTATATTATTATTATGTTTTATTAATCTTTAGTGTCTTCCTTTATCACTTCTTGGTATAGGAAACATGTCTAAGTATTTGAATATCTTTACTTTGCTCAATAACCATGTAGCTGTTATTTTCTGAATAATTTATTTTTCAATTTTAGTCTTGTATGAGACTGTAAGAATAAGACATCCAGGAAGGATTTCATTTACTACACTAGTGAACTGGTTTTCAAGACTTTTCTACTCATTAACACCAGGATTACATTTTGGACAATTGTATCAAAGATGTTGACTTGCTTTAATGTGAAAACTTAAATAAACGGAACAAAAAATGTCTATCGAAATATAATTATTAATCCTATTCCAACATGAGTGATCTCCCTTAGTGAACTCTATACACATGACTTACCATTCTCTTTGAAAATGTTCAAAAGCCCCTCCCTAATCAATAAACACAGATGAATGTGAACATCTGTTATTAATTTTTCTCCATTATTTTTAATAACCCTCTTAAACACATTTGTTGGACTTTATTTATCCTTGAATTTAAATGTTTTTTAGCTATTACTAATATATATATATATATATATATATATATATATATGTGTATATATTATGAAATGGACAAAGTCCGACAATTATTTAAGACATTTTTATGTTTATACATTCTTTTTTATAGATACAAATATTTAAATAAATGCTCTGTTTTATAATAAACAGTATTAAACAACATTTACATTTAAGCCAGTAAATGTTGTTTAATACTGTTTATTATAAAACAGAGCATTTACTTAAATATTTGTATCTATAAAAAAGAATGTATAAACATAAAAATGTCTTATATGTGTATGTATGTATTTTTTTAAATTTGACAAATGGAAAGTGTTTCATTGAAAATAGATTTGATTATGCATTTCACCATTTAAAGCTTCATCGGATCCAAAATGAATTTCTTGTTTTTGATCCATTCTAAAAATGAGATGAGGATTTGCTTTGGATTCATTCCAGAAAAGGCTATATGAATTTTTTTGCTTTCAAGACATTCTGGAAATGAGATGAGGATTTGCTTTTAATTCAATGCAAAAAAGCTGGGAAAAATATATTAACGACTTTTGATGTGAACCAAGAATTATAAAGAAAAGATACAGAATAAATATTAACGTTTTTTTTTTGTTTTTTTTTTAAAAAGTCACTCATTTTCTTTCCTCTTTAATCATGAGAAATGCCAACTTAGGCAAAAAAAAAGTACTGAGATTCATTATTTAAACAATCACACAAATACACATCCACACATTACTTTTTTGTTTTTGGACTTGATGAAGCATAAAATGGTGAAATGCATAATAAAATCTATTTTCAATTAAACATTTGCCATTTGTCAAATTTATTAAAAACTTTGTCAGGATTCTGTATCCTATTTTAAAAACACACACACACATATACACATGCATATATATATATATATATATATATATATATATATATATATATATATATATATATATATTTGTGTATTTGGCCAGCAAATTGTCTTTTAGGCATGTCTGATTGAATAAATTAGAAACATGTCTGCTTATTTTTATCATAATCCTTTCATATTCACAAATATTTTCCTGTATATTGCAGTTGAATAAGGCAAAAAATGCATTATTACAGTGAGAATCATTTTTATTTCCCCAAGTACTTTCCATCTCTTTCTGAGATACACATAGTTTTTGCCTTAACAGTTGCACCCCTGATGATGATCTTGGAAAGTACTTGGGAAATAAAAGTGATTCTCACTCTTACAGTACATTTCTTGCCTTATTCAATCGCAATATATGGAAAAATATTTGTGAACATGAAAGGATTATGATAAAAAAATAATCAGCTATAACTTTTGTTATTCACTGAGACATATATATATATATATATATATATATATATATATATATATATATATATGTGTTTTTAAAATATATATAGGATTAATACAATTGATTGATATTATATTTAGCATTTCAACTCTAGAGTTTCATAGATTAACGTTTTTGTACTTGTTCAGTCCACTTTTCAGGAGGTTTTAGCAATTGATTGGTGTTCTCATTTTTCATTCTGTTATTATTTGAGTTAGATTGATATTTTTTCTCTTAGTGTGTTTCTGTACATATATATGTATATTATAATATTTTTATTATAATAAAAACATTTTACATAGCTACACAAAAGTACAATCATAGTATTGAAACATGAAAGCTTTTGTGTAGCGATGTAAAATGTTTGTATTATAATCTATTATAATAAAAATATTATAATAATAATATTTTGCTCTACTTTGTATTGAGCACTTTTTAAAAAAGTAAATGCTACAAACTGGATTTTTACTCCATCTGTTCTTTCTCTTATTTGGTTATATATATATATTTGTAATTAAATTATATTTATGTTTGTATTTGGATGGATGTAAATGTATATAGTACCCCTAATAAGTGAATTGCTCCTCTATAATAACAGTACAGTTCATAACGGTCAGTTTTCAGTCAGCACCTGATAATTTTATCATGCAACTTGGAGTTGTGCTATCAGTGAGGAAAAAAAATATATGTTTAGTATTAGTATAAATTTTATCTCTGTTTTATACATCAAGCATTGTTTTATTAACACCACCACTCAATGAACTATATATATATATAAACAGATATATCAATTTTATATATCAGAACATATTTTAGAAAATCAATGACGACATTTAACCATTCTTGGTAGATTTTCTATTATCACAATGTTGGATAGTTAATAACTGATGTAATGGAATAACCTGACACCCCCATGAGTGACTACACTATAGGTAGTAGCTAAGTATTTGTAAGTCAATGAACTACAGAGTCTAGCTGGGATCTGTTGAGTACAACTCAGGCTTATGTGAGAACTACCAAATTGGTCAGTTGTTTAGTCACACTGATGAGCTGTGGTACAGCAAAACAGGCCTGTATGTGAATGACCTTATATGTATTTCATTAAATAATTTAGACATATAGTGTCTATTTTTATATTTCCAGCTGTCTAATCAGTTTTTTGATGTTAAGATGAAATTCATCAAGGAAGGCGCCATAATTTTTTTATTAACC